TGGCAGAATGGGGTTGGACTGGATGGCCCATGAGGTCTCTTCCAACTCTTTGATTCTATGATTCTATGGATTGCTCTTGAGATCTTTTCCAACTCTAGAAGTCTATGGGGATCCTTTTACATTGCTATATATAATCCAGATTATCTACTTTGAACTGGATTATATGACAATGTAGCGTCATATGATCCAGTTCAAAGCAGATAAAGCGGCTCAACTGCTTTGATAATCTGGATCATACGGCAGCGTAGGAGGAGAACACACCTGCAGTCAGTAGTAGGAGTTTGAAGCTCAATTTTAGGGAGAAGGGAGTGAACCTCCGGAGGTCTACGAGATCCTTTAAGGAGCATCATCAACAGCTCCTTGGAGCAAGGAATTTTTCCAGATTGCCTTAAAGAAGCAGTGGTCCACCCTCTCCTGAAAAAAACCAAGCCTAGACGCCGCCATGCCTAGTAACTATCGCCCAGTTTCAAACCTTCCATTTTTGGGCAAGGTGATTGAACGGACAGTGGCGGGGCAGCTACCGCAATTCTTAGATGAGACTGCGGGTTTGGACCCCTTTCAATCAGGCTTTCGTTCAGGTCATGGGACAGAGACTGTCTTGGTAGCTATTACTGACGAAATTCGTCGTCAGTTAGACCGAGGCAGATAAGCGCTATTGGTACTCTTGGGCCTCACAGCTGCATTCGACACCGTGGACCATGACTTGCTGATTCATCGATTGGCTCTGTCTGGTGTACGAGGTTTAGCCCTCAAATGGTTCAGTTCGTTCCTCCGGGACCGGAGACAGAGAGTGGAGTGGTGAGGCCAAAGCTCCGAGAGCTCCTGCCTTTGCTGTGGAGTGAGTTCCCCAGGGTGCTCTCCTCTCGCCCCTGTTACTGAACATCTACGTCCGACCACTTGCTGGACTGGTGCGGAGCTTTGGCAGAGAGTGCTACCAGTATGCAGATTATACCCAGCTACTCTTGAGTCTCGAACCTGGGACAACCGTGATTCCTGAGAACTTTAGGCTGTGTTTGGAAGCAGTGATGAGTTGGCTACGAGCGAGCAGACTCAAAGTGAATCCTGCAAAAAATGAGATACTCTGGCCCGGCCAGCCGCCAGAATTAATCCAGTCTCTGCCTGATTTTGATGGGGAAGCTCTGGTTCCGTCTGCATCTGTTAAAAACCTTGGGGTTGTGTTGGACTCATCGCTGACGATGGAGGCCCAGATCACTGCCATAAGGAAGCAGGCCTTTTTTCATCTTCGCCAGGCAATGTAATTGGCATCCTACCTTTCGGTAGAAGGATTGGCAACAGTATTTCCTGGCCACAGTCTGCATCTGCACTAATCTTTGCGCCTAGAAATACAAAGTCTGTCACGGCCTCCACGTTTTCTCCCTCTATTTCCCAGTTGTCAATCATTCTTGTTGCCATAATCTTGGTTTTTTTTGATGTTTAGCTGCAACCCGGCTTTTGCGCTTTCTTCTTTCACCTTGATTAGAAGGCTCCTCAGCTCCTCCTCGCTTTCGGCCATCAGAGTGGTGTCATCTGCATATCTGAGGTTGTTAATGTTTCTTCCAGCAATTTTCACCCCAACTTTGCATTCATCAAGCCCCGCACATCGCATGATGTGTTCTGCATACAAGTTAAAAAGGTTGGGTGAGAGGATGCAGCCTTGCCGTACGCCTTTCCCAATCTTGAACCAGTCTGTTGTTCCGTGGTCAGTTCTGACTGTTGCTCCTTGGTCCTTGTACAGATTCCTCAGGAGAGAGACAAGGTGGCTTGGGATGCCCATCCCACTAAGAACTTGCCACAGTTTATTATGATCCACACAGTCAAAGGCTTTAGAGTAGTCAAGAGGCAGAAGTAGATGTTTTTCTGAAACTCCCTGCCTTTCTCCATTCTCCAGCATCCGGATATTGGCAATCTGGTCTCTCGTTCCTCTGCCTTTTCTAAACCCAGCTTGAACATCTGGCAACTCTCGCTCCCTGTATTGCTGGAGTCTTCCTTGCAGGATCTTGAGCATTACCTTACTGGCATGAGAAATAAGGGCCACTGTACGGAAGTTTGAGCAGTCTTTCGCATTTCCCTTTTTTGGTATGGGGATATAAGTTGATTTTTTCCAGTCTGATGGCCATTCTTGTGTTTTCCATATTTGCTGGCTTATGGCATGCATCACTTTGACAGCATCATCTTTTAAGATTTTAAACAGTTCAGCTGGGATCCCGTCGTCTCCTGCTGCCTTGTTGTTAGCAATGCTTCTTAAGGCCCATTCAACCTCACTCCTCAGGATGTCTGTTCTAATTCATTCACCACACCGTCAAAACTATCCTCAATATTATTATCCTTCCTATACAGATCTTCTGTATAGTCTCGCCACCTTCTCTTGATCTCTTCAGCTTCTGTTAGGTCCCTGCCATCTTTGTTTCTTATCATGCCAATTTTTGCCTGAAATTTACCTCCAATGTTTCTAATTTTCTGGAAGAGGTCTCTTGTCCTTCCTATTCTGTTGTCTTCTTCCACTTCCATGCATTGCTTATTTAAAAATAGTTCCTTATCTCTTCTGGCTAACCTCTGGAATTGCGCATTAACAATACATATTGTTGTATATTGTTTATTTTGCTTTCCTCCTTTGAAAGATGCTACGCTCTACAAAAAGAGAGAAGGATCAACACTATTATATATATATATACATACTGCTATGAACAAGAATGGAAGTCACATGTACACCTTTTTTATTATTTTATTTTATTCTCTCTTTTCTTCTTTCCTACGATCCTATCAGTGCACTGTTCTCCCACTTTCCATGTGAAAACATATATCATTCTATTTGTATTTTTTAATTTTTCCTTAACTACATTTTTATTTGTATTAATGATTCTTCTTTCTTTTAATATTAATTAATTAAAATATATATTTTTAAATAAGCAGATAAGCTGGATTTTATACAGCAGTGTAGAAGGGGCCTGAGTCTACACTGCCATTTAAAATCCAGAATATCTGCTTTGAACAGGAGTTTCTAAAAGAGGCCAGAAACTCCACTCGATCTGTTGGACTACAACTCCCTTCGCCCACAGCCTGCTTTTAATCGACGTACTTGAAGGCCTTGTACATGGGCCGATACCAGCAGAGGAAGGAACACGGGGTGAAGATCAAGGTCCAGAGGATGGAAAGGCCGAACCCGGAGCCACCGGAGGTGTCCACGCAGAACAAGGCCAGGGAGGCCAGGAAGTTGAAGAAGAGGGTCACGATGCTGGCTGCAACACACACACAGACACAAAGAGGGTTATATTATACTAGCTTTACCCGCCACGCGTTGCTGTGGCCAACCTTCTCTCCCTCTTTCTCTCCTTCTTTCACTCCTTCATTCATTTCCTTTTCTTCTTTCCTTTCTTCCTTCTCTACCTGTTTACTTCCTTCCTTAGCTTTTTGCTCCCATCCTTCCTTCTCTTTATTTCTTTCCTTCCCTCCCTCTTTCTCTCCTTCTTTCTCTTCTTTCTTTGCTCCGTCTTTCCTCCCTTTTTTCTTTCCTTCTTCCTTCTCTTCCTCTTTCCTTCCTCCTCCCTTTTTATTTTCCTTCCTCTTTCTCTCCTTTCTTCCCTCTCTATCTCTTTCCTTCCTTCCCTTCCTTCGCTCTTGACTTCCAGACTTCCTTTTCTTTCTTCCTTTTCTTTCCTCCCTTTCTCTTCTTCCTTTGCTTTTCCCCCTCTCTTCCCCTTCCCAAATTCCCCTTCCTTCCTCCCTTTTGACACCTTCCCTTCCCCTTCCCTTTCTTCTTCTTTTCCATCTTTCTTTCCTTTCCTCCTTCCTTCCTTTCTCCCTTCTTTCCCATCCTCCTTCTCTCTCTTTATTCCTCCTTTCCTACCTTTCTTCTTTCATATACCTTCTCAACTTCTCCTTCCTTCCTTCATACACCTTCCCTCCCTTCCCTCCTTCCTTCCTTTTCTTTCCTTCCTTCCTTCCTTTCTCCCTTCTTTCCCATCCTCCTTCTCTCTCTGTAGTCTTTCTTTCCTACCTTTCTTCTTTCATATACCTTCTCAACTTCCCTCCCTCCCTCCCTTCCTTTCCTTCCTTCCTTTCTCCCTTCTTTCCCATCCTCCTTCTCTCTCTGTATTCTTTCTTTCCTACCTTTCTTCTTTCATATACCTTCTCAACTTCCCTCCCTCCCTTCCTTCCTTCCTTTCCTTCCTTCCTTTCTCCGTTCGCGCAGCATCCTGGCCCCCAGCGAGCAGGCTGCGTTCTTGAACTACAGTTCCCAGAGTGCATTGCATGTGTACTTCCTCCCCTGGGCACTGAGCATGCTCAGTTGGTTTTTGTAATTGTGAGTTTGTTGAAATGTTGTTTGGAATTTTGATTCGCGTTGTGCATTCCTTGTGGGTTGAGGTATGTGCACGGCAAATTTGGTGAGTTTTCGTCGGGGGGTTTCCGCGTTTTGCCGTCCCGTTGAACACCCTTTCCATTTTTATATATATATATGGAAGCGTTCATAATTCTCAGCCGAGAGCTCATAAAACCTAAATTTTCCGACTGTTTCTGTTATACCCATCACTCCCTGCTTTCGTCTTGCAATTTAATCTCATTTTACCAAGCTTATTAATCAAGTTTTACTGTGTTTAAATTTATTTTTAGTTATAAGTATTACAGGAGCTTTAGGATACAAAGAAGCAGAAAATACCATCAAAATAAATACATGAAATAACAAAATAAAATAAAAATTACAAAATAACATGATAGAGAAATAGAACACAGTGGGCGGGCCAAATGCACCAGGATAAAATTCATATACACATATACACAAATATATACACACACAAAACACATATATACAGACTGTGCCACAGCAACACATGGCAGGGGATGGCTAGTAATATAATATAATATAATGTATCATCCAGTATCAGCCACTTATTGAGGTTCTGGGTTTCAGCCTGCCACTTTTGGACTCTCATTTGCTGAGGTGTTCCGGCAAGTATCTCTGTAGATCTTAGGAAGCTATTTTTTTTTTAAAAAAAAATGAATCAGCTGTTTTCCCTGTAGTAGGCAGTAAGAGCACCTAAAGTTTTGGAGAACTTCTGTCCAATCATTTCAAAGCTCCCTGCTTGGGCAGTGATGGCACGATCGTGAGCATAGATGAAGCTCTTTGTCCCTTCTGGCAGTGGCTGGTCATTTGTGTAAATGTTGAACATTGATGGTGCAAGCAAGCTCCCCTTATGGCTTTAAAATAGCTCTTCTACACTATTATATAATCTACACATTATATAATATGGATTATCAAAGCAAATAATCCACATTATCTGATGTGAACTGGAATATATGAGTCTAAGGTAAAAGGTAAACGTAGTTCCCTGACATTAAGTCCAGTCGTGTCCAACTCTGGGGGTTAGTGCTCATCTCCATTTCAAAGCCGAAGCGCCGGCTTTGTCCGTAGACACCTCCAAGGTCATGTGGCCGGTATGACTGCAAAGAGCGCCGTTACTTTCCCACCGGAGTGGTACCTATTGATCTACTCACATTTGCATGTTTTCGAACTGCTAGGTTGGCAGAAGCAATCATCATTTGCATGTTTTCGAACTGCTAGGTTGGCAGAAGCAATCATCATCATACATTTTATTTATTATGTAAACAATATACATTCTTTCATGAGCTCAGCTTGCTGTGGAATCAGACATGGGTCTATTTTTTCCATAATTCTATGCAAAATAAGTCTCTCCAGTACTTTGTAAAGATGGCACAACAGGGAGATTGATCTAAAATTGTTATTATTATTATTTCATTATTGTTATTGTTATTATTATTATTATCATCATCATCATCATCATCTATAGCCTTTTGGGTTATTATGGTCTTTGCCTGATTTCAAAATGGCTATTTTAAAGCCATAAGGGGAGCCTGCTTGCATCATCAATGTTCAACATTTACACAAATGACCAGCCACTGCCAGAAGGGACAAAGAGCTTCATCTATGCTGACGATCGTGTCATCACTGCCCAAGCAGGGAACGTTGAAATGATTGAACAGAAGTTCTCCAAAACTTTAGGTGCTCTTACTGCCTACCACAGGAAAAACCAGCTGATTCCTTTTTTAAAAAAAAGATCTACAGAGATACTCGCCGGAACACCTCAGCAAGTGAGAGTCCAAAAGTGGCAGGCTGAAACCTGGAACCTCAATCAGTGGCTGATACTGGATGAGAAACTCTCTCCTGGGCACACAGAAGAGTGGATGACCTGGAAGGTACTGAACAGGCTGTGCCACAAAGTGGAGTCCACGGCATGCGAGTGTGGAGAAGAGCAAACCATAGACCACTTACTACAATGCAAAGTCTAAAGTACAAAGGACGAATGGGAACCAAGTTAGCCTATTTAGGCCCTTCTACACTATTATATAATCTACACATTATATAATGTGGATTATCAAAGCAGATAATCCACACTATCTGATTTGAACTGGATTATATGAGTCTACATTGCCATATAACCCAGTTCAAAGAAGATAATTTGGATTTTATTTGGCCTAGGATGAACCCAGAACCTTCTTGAGACAAAAATTGGCATTCATTCAGTGGCAGTCCTTTTCTCCAAGGGCTTACTTACCCATCCAGAGGTAGTACATCGTAGTGACTGTTTTCTGGGATTCCACCGGAATCTCCACCGGGATGTCCTGATAGAAACACGGTTTCACCGGACAGAAGGATGGCAGAGGTGGCCAATTGTTCGGTCTGGCTGTAAGATGAAAACAGAGACAGAAAGTCAAGTAAACAGGTGACTCCAGGGAGAGCATTTTATGTTGAACCAAAATAATAATAATAATAATAATAATAATAATAATAATAATAAAAAACACCACTTGGGAAGATTCCAACGTATGATCCAACACAACAGCCAGCAGAGTGATCTTGTCTGCTGTGGACTCATCTTGTTGTGTTTCTAATAATAATAATAATAATAATAATAATAATAATAATAATAACAACAACAACAATAATCATAGGCGCTTTTAACCCTTTTAGATGTGTTTTGAAGGACTAGAAAGCCACGAAATAAACCCTGGGAAATATAAACAGGACCGTGGTGTCGCAACGGCTTAAGCTGTTGAGCCGCTGAACTTGTTGACCTCAAGGTTGGCAGTTCAAATCCGTGAATTGGGGTGAGCTCCTGACGTTAGCCCCAGCTCCTACCAACCTAGCAATTAGAAAGCATGCAAATGTGAGCAGATCAATAAAGTACAGCCTCGGCAGGAAGGCAAACGGCACTCCATGCAGTCATGCCTGCCACACAACCCAGGAGGTGTCTATGGGCAATGCCGGCTCCTCGGCTTGGAAATGGAGATGAGTACTTCCCCAGAGATGGAGTTGAGTACCGTCTCCAGGAGCTGGAGATGAAAGGAGAAGCTTTTGCCTTGGTCTGTGAATTTCTGTCTCATTATATCAAGACACTGAAAGTTTGCCTATCTTTGTATATATACTGTAATCCACTCAGTATAATTATTATTATTATTATTATTATTATATTTTACTGACAAAAAATCACAACATGTTACAGCAACGAGATCTATAGGCTGGATTTCGTATCACAAAATCACAAGTCGAACACTTCCCAAGCGTCTAGGACTGTGTGAATTATTATTATTATTATTGTTATTATTATTATTACTATTATTAACACAAGATGAGTCCACGGCATTATTATTATTATTATTATTATTATTACTAGCCGTCCCCTGCCACGCGTTGCTGTGGCCCACATGTCGGTTCTATGTGGGAGCTTTGGCCCAATTCTATCGTTGATGGGGTTCAGAATGCTCTGTGATTGTAGGTGAACTACAAATCCCAGCAACTACAATTCCCAAATGTCAAGATTCTATTTTCCCCAAACTCCACCAGTGTTCACATTTGGGCAGATTGAGTATTCATGTAGTTTGGTCGAGATCCATCATTGTTTGAGTCCACAGTCCTCTCTGGATGTAGCTGAACTACAACTCCAAAACCAAAGGACACTGCCCACCAAACCCTTCCAGTATTTTGTGTTGATCATGAGAGAACTGTGTGCCAGGTTTGGTTCAATTCCATCGTTGGTGGGGTTCAGAATGCTCTTTGATTGTAGGTGAACTATAAATCCCAGCAACTACAACTCCCAAATGACAAAATCAATTTTTTTGAGTGAAGGACATACATTGGGTGGTTAGGTGTCTTGTGTCCAAATTTGGTGTCAATTCGTCCAGTGGTTTTTGAGTTATGTTAAACCCACAAATGAACATTACATTTTTATATAGATTATTGTTGTTGTTGTTGTTGTTGTTGTTATTATTATTATTATTATCATTATTATATTTTACTGACACAAAACCACACTATGTCACAGCAACAAGATCTATAGGCTGGATTTCGTATCACAAAATCACAAGTCAAACACTTCCCAAGTGTCTAGGACTGTGTGAAGTATTATTATTATTATTATTATTATTATTATTAGAAACAGAAGATGAGTCCACAGCATCATCATCATCACCATCACCATCACCATTATTATTATTATTATTATTATTATTATTATTATTATTATTATTATTAGGCATGGGCAATCCATGGTTCTA